CATCGCCGGGACCACCGGGACGGGCACCGGGACCACCGGAGTGGGCACCGGGACCACCGGGACGGGCACCGGGACCACCGGGATGGGCACTGGGACCACCGGGGTGGGCACCCGGACCCTCCGAGACCGCCGGAACGGGCACCGGGACCCCCGGAGTGAGCACCGGGACCCCCGGGACGGGCACCGGGACCACCGGGACGGGCACCGGGACCCCCGGAGTGGGCACCGGGACCCCCGGGGTGGGCACCGGGACCCCCGCGGCGGTGGCGCTGGGGTGGCCCCCGGCGTGAAGCAGCGGAGCCCGTGGGCCACCGCGTGCCACCGCGTGCCCCCGTGTGCCACCGGCCGTGGGACGAGCGGCTCCCCCGGCTCCCTCCCCGTCGCCCCCCCGGGGAAGGGGCCGTGCCTCAGTTTCCCCGCTCACCCCGTGCCAGGCTGGGCTGTGCCACGAAGCCCCTGACCCCGCACACACCAGCCCGGGGGGCGCTGCCGGGCCGGCTGGGGGGGTAGAGAACCCCACGCCTCCCTCAGACCCCCCAAAACCCCCCAAAACCCTCCAAAACCCCCCAAAGCCCCCCGGGCCCGGCCCGCGGCGGCCGCGGCCCCTTTAAAGGGAGCGACGGGGCGGGGCCGAATGGGGGGAGCGGCGGCCAATGGGAGGCGGGCGCGGCGCCGCGAGGACCAATGAGCGTAGAGGGGGGGCGGGGCGTGAGACCGATGGGCGTGGCCGATGGCCTGAGTTGGTCCCGCCCCCCCCCGGGCCCGGACCCCCCAGTTTGGGTGGGGAGGGGTCCCAGTTTGGGGGTCACCGGGTCCCAGTTTGGGCCCCAAATGACCCCTCCCCGCTCCAACTGGGACATTTGGGCCCTTCCCAGTTACCTGGAGGGGGGGGGGGCGATCCCTGCGCTTCCCCATCGCGGCGCTGTCGGAGCGGCCCCAAATCACCCCCAGTGCCCCCCAGTGCCCCCCAGTACCGCCCAGTACCCCCATTCCCACCCCCCAATACCTCCCCAACTCCCCGAGAGCCCCGAGGGCCGCCCCCCACCCACCCCCCAGGAAGGGACTCCGGGACGGGGGACACCGGGATGGGGGGACCGGGGGTGGGGACCGGGGTGGGGACCGGGCACGACGCCCCCCTCCACCCGGACACCCCCGGGACACCCCCGGGACAACCCCCCGGACCCCCGGGAGGGACAGAGGCGGCAGCGCCGGGGACGGGAGCGGGGCCGGGGCGGTGCACTGGGAGCTCTGGGAACACTGGGGAACACTGGGAGCTCTGGGAATACTGGGAGCTCTGGGAACACTGGGAACACTGGGAGCTCTGGGAGCGCCAGGCACGTGGAGCGCGGTCCGCAGCGCCGGAAGCACTGGGAACACTGGGAACACTGGGAGCGCCGGGCACGTGGAGCGCGGTCCGCAGCGCCGGAAGCACTGGGAACACTGGGAACACTGGGAGCGCCGGGCACGTGGGGCCGCGTCCAGCCCCACACGGTACCGGGAGCACTGGGAGCAGCAGAACATCGCGGTACCTCATCCCACCCTGAACTGGGAGCACTGGGGACACCGCGAGACCCCGCCCCACTGAACTGGGAGCACTGGGAGCACCAAAGCTCTGCTGTCCCGCCTTTCACCGCACTGGGAGCCCCGGGAACACCGGGAACACCGGGAACACCGGGATATCCTACCCTGCACTGCACGGGGAGCCCCGGGAACACCGGGAACACCGGGAACACCGGGATATCCTACCCTACACTGCACGGGGAGCCCCGGGAACACCGGGAACACCGGGAACACCGGGATATCCTACCCTACACTGCACGGGGAGCCCCGGAACCCTAAAATTCCGACGTCCAGCCCTTCACAGCCCCGGGAACCCCAAATCACCGGTGTCCAGCCCTTCAGAGCCCCAAAACTCCGGCGTCCAACCCTTCAGAGCCCCGGGAGCCCTAATGCAGCAGCACCCAGCCCTTCAGAGCCCCGGGAACCCCAAAACTCCGGCGTCCAGCCCTTCACGGCCCCAAATCACCGGCGTCCAGCCCTTCAGAGCCCCGGGAACCCCAAATCACCGGCATCCAGCCCTTCAGAGCCCCAAAATTCCGGCGTCCAGCCCTTCAGAGCTCCGGGAGCCCTAAAGCAGCAGCACCCAGCCCTTCAGAGCCTCGGGAACCCCAAAACTCGGGTGTCCAGCCCTTCAGAGCCCCAGGAGCCCCAAATCACCGGCGTCCAGCCCTTCAGAGCCCCAGGAGCCCTAAAGCAGCAGCACCCAGCCCTTCACAGCCCCAAATCACCGGCGTCCAGCCCTTCACAGCCCCAAAACTCGGGTGTCCAGCCCTTCAGAGCCCCGGGAGCCCTACAACTCCAGCGTCCAGCCTTTCATAGCCCCAGGAGCCCCAAAACTCGGGTGTCCAGCCCTTCAGAGCCCCGGGAGCCCTAAAACTCCGCCGTCCAGCCCTTCAGAGCCCCGGGAACCCCAAAACTCCAGCGTCCAGCCCTTCAGAGCCCCAGGAACCCCAAAACTCCGGTGTCCAGCCCTTCAGAGCCCCGGCAACCTCAAATCCCTGCCGTCCAGCCCTTCAGAGCCCTGGGAGCCCTAAAACTCCAGCGTCCAGCCCTACAGAGCCCCGGGAACCCCAAATCACCAGCACCCAGCCCTTCACAGCCCTAAAACTCCGGCGTCCAGCCCTTCAGAGCCCCGGGAACCCCAAAACTCCGGCGTCCAGCCCTACAGAGCCCCGGGAGCCCTAAAACTCCGGCGTCCAGCCCTTCACAGCCCCGGGAACCCCAAAACTCCGGCGTCCAGCCCTTCACAGCCCCGGGAACCCCAAAACTCCGGCGTCCAGCCCTTCACAGCCCCAAATCCCCGCCGTCCAGCCCTTCAGAGCCCCGGGAGCCCCAAATCCCCGCCGTCCAGCCCTTCAGAGCCCCGGGAGCCCCAAATCCCCGCCGTCCATCCCTTCCCCCGGCGGGATGAGGCCCTCGGACGCCGCAGCCCCGTCCCCGCCGCTCCCCTTCGAGCCGGCGGGTCCCTTCGACATGTGGCGGGACTACCTGGGGCTGGCGGCGCTGCTGCGGGACCCCCCCGGGGGGGACGGGGACCCCAAAACTCCCCCCTCCTCCTCCTCCCCGGGCTCGGAGCCCGCTCCGGGGCCGCCGTGCGCGTTCTGCCGGCACAACGGCGAGGCGCCGGCCGTGTACCAGGGGCACAGCCTGCGGGACGCGGGCGGGCGGCTGCAGTGCCCGGTGCTGCGGAGCTACGTGTGCCCGCAGTGCGGGGCCACCCAGGACCGGGCGCACACGCGGCGGTTCTGCCCCCTGACCCCCCGCGGGTACACCTCGGTGTACGAGCGGGCCGGGAGCGCCAGGAGCGGGGCCGGGAGCGGGGCCGGGAGCGCCAGGAGCGGTGCCAGGAGCGGTGCCAGGGAGGGCACGGCGAGGGACGGCGGGGAGTAGCCGAGGGATGGAGGGTACGGGGGGGAGGGTCGGGGGGGGGGTCGGGGGGGTACCCGGTTTGGGTGGGGGGGTCCCAGTTGGGGGGGGGGGTCCGGGTTTGGGATGGGGGGGTGTGTCCCAGTTTGGGACTGGGAGGGTCCCAGGTTGGGATTGGGATGGTCCCAGGTTGGGGGGGGTGTGTCCCAGTTTGGGACTTGGGAGAGGCAAGGTTGGGGAGGGGGTGGGGCCCATTTTGGGTGGGGAGGGGGTTCCCGTTTGGGTGTGGGAGTCCCAGGTTGGATTTGGGATGGGCCCCAAGTTGGGGGGGGGGGGGGGTTGGGGTCCCAGTTTGGGACTGGAGGTTCAGTTGGGATTGGGGAGGGTCCCAGTTTGGGTGGGCGTGGTGTTTCCCATTTGGGACTGGGAGAGTCACAGGTTGGGATTGGGCGGGTCCCAGGTTGGGGGGGGGGGTGGGTCCCAGGTTGGGACTGGGAGAGTCACAGGTTGGGGAGGGGGTGTGTCCCAGTTTGGGTGGGGAGGGGGGTCCCGGTTTGGGTGGGGGGTCCCAGTTTGAGACTGGGAGGGTCCCAGTTTGGGTGGGGAGGGGGTGTCGTGGTGTCTCCACGGGGATGTGGCACCCACTTCTCCCTCCCTCTCCCACTTCTCTTCCCTCCCTCTCCCACTTCTCCCTCCCTCTCCCACTTCCCTTCCCTCCCTCTCCCACTTCTCCCTCCCTCTCCCACTTCTCCTCCCTCCCTCTCCCACTTCCCTTCCCTCCCTCTCCCACTTCTCCCTCCCTCTCCCACTTCCCTTCCCTCCCTCTCCCACTTCTCCTCCCTCCCTCTCCCACTTCTCCCTCTTCTCCTCCCTCTCCCACTTCTCCCTCTCACTCCCTCTCCCACTTCCCTCCCTCTCCCACTTCTCCTCCCTCCCTCTCCCACTTCCCTTCCCTCCCTCTCCCACTTCCCTTCCCTCCCTCTCCCACTTCTCCCTCCCCTCTCCCACTTCCCTGCCCTCCCGCTCCCGACTTCGTCCCGCCCTCGACCACTGCCGTCCGCCGCTCCCACTTCTCACTCTTCTCCTCCCTCTCCCACTTCTCCTCCCTCCCTCTCCCACTTCCCTTCCCTCCCTCTCCCACTTCCCTCCCTCTCCCACTTCCCTTCCCTCCCTCTCCCACTTCTCCCTCCCTCTCCCACTTCTCTTCCCTCCCTCTCCCCCTTCTCCCCCCTCCCTCTCCCCCTCCTCCCTCTCCCTCCCACTTCTCTTCCAGGGCGTCACTCCGAGGATGAGACCCCGGCCGGGCACTTCCCAGTATTCCCAGTGCCCCCAGTGCCCCCAGTGCCCGAGACAGACCCCGGGGGATCCCGGGAAAGGCCCCGTTTGGCCGGATCCGGGCACTGCAGGAGGCTGCAGTTCTGGATTTTGGGTTGGTTTGTTGGGTTTTGGTTAATCCCAGACCAGGAAAGGACCAGGAAGGGCTTCAGTGCTCCAAACATGGAATCATTAATGGATGGTTTGGGTGGGTTTGCTCAGTTTTGGTAAATCCCAGGCCAGGAAGGGCTCAGTGCTCCAAACATGGAATCATTAGTGGATGGTTTGGGTTGGTTTGCTCAGTTTTGGTAAATCCCAGGCCAGGAAGGGCTCAGTGCTCCAAACATGGAATCATTAATGGATGGTTTGGGTGGGTTTGGTCATTTTTGGTTAATCCCAGGCCAGGAAGGGGCCAGGAAGGGGCCAGGAAGGACCCGGTTCCCGGTGCCAGAGCCCCTCTCCGAGCCCCGGAGCCGTTCCCAAGAGTTCTGGGGGGGATTTCTGGGGTCCTGCCCCCCAGGCCGGCGTTCCCTGGTAGCAGGAGCGTTTATTCCCAAATAAAGACCCGTTCCCAAGAGTTCTGGGGGGGGGATTTCTGGGGTCCTGCCCCCCCAGGCCGGCGTTCCCTGGTGGCAGGAGCGTTTATTCCCAAATAAAGACCCGTTCCCAAGAGCTCTGGGGGGGATTTCTGGGGTCCTGCCCCCCAGGCCGGCGTTCCCTGGTGGCAGGAGCGTTTATTCCCAAATAAAGGGCCATTCCCAGGAGTTCTGGGGGGGATTTCTGGGGTCCTGCCCCCCAGGCCGGCGTTCCCTGGTGGCAGGAGCGTTTATTCCCAAATAAAGGGCCATTCCCAAGAGTTCTGGGGGGGGGGTTTCTGGGGTCCTGCCCCCCCCAGGCCGGCGTTCCCTGGTGGCAGGAGCGTTTATTCCCAAATAAAGGGCCATTCCCAAGAGCTCTGGGGGGGGATTTCTGGGGTCCTGCCCCCCCCAGGGGCCGCGTTTCCCTGGTGGCAGGAGCGTTATTCCCAAATAAAGGGGCCATTGTCCAGGAGTTTCGGGGGGGGATGTCTGGGGTCCTGCCCCCCCAGGGGAGGGCCGGCGTTCCCCTGGTGGCAGGAGCGTGTAGTTTACTTCCCAAAGAAAGGCCGCACCCGTTACCAAGAGTTCTGGGGGGGGATTTCTGGGGTCCGGCCCCCCCAGGCCGGCGTTCCCCCCCTGGTGGCAGGAGCGGTTATTCCCAAAAAAGGCCCCTTTCCAAGAGTTCTGGGGGGGGTTTCTGGGGTCCTGCCCCCCCAGGCCGGCGTTCCCTGGTGGCAGGAGCGTTTATTCCCAAATAAAGGCCCGTTCCCAAGAGTTCTGGGGGGGGATTTCTGGGGTCCTGCCCCCCAGGCCGGCGTTCCCTGGTGGCAGGAGCGTTTATTCCCGGAATAAAGGGCCATTCCCAGGAGTTCTGGGGGGGGTTTCTGGGGTCCTGCCCCCCAGGCCGGCGTTCCCTGGTGGCAGGAGCGTTTATTCCCAAATAAAGGGCCATTCCCAAGAGCTCTGGGGGGGGATTTCTGGGGTCCTGCCCCCCCAGGCCGGCGTTCCCTGGTGGCAGGAGCGTTTATTCCCGGAATAAAGGCCCGTTCCAGGTGTTTTCCAGGTGTTTTCCAGGCGTCCCTACGGCTCCTTCCAGCGGCTCCGGCGGCCCCGGCGCGGCCTCGGCCTCCGGAGCAGCTCCAGCCCCCGGCGGGCCCCCATGGCCAGGCGGCTTTGGGGGGGGGACAGGGGGGTCATTTTGGGGTCTGCCCCCCATCCCAGGGGATCCCGGGGGGGGTTGGGACTCACTTGAGGTCCGAGAGCTCCCGGATGAGCCCCCGGATGACGTCGGAGGCGTCCGGAGGGTCCGGAGGGTCCGTCCTGGGGGAGGGATGGGGGGGGGGGTCAGGGCTGTCCCACCCCCAAAAATTGGGGGGTTTGGCCCAAAAAGGGGGGTTTGATCCCAAGGGAGGGGCTGTCCTGGGGTCACCCACCTGTCCCACGGCACGTTCCCGAGGGATCTGGGGCGGATCCAGGTCCCGGAATCGTGTCCGGGGGCGTCCGGGGGCGGCTGGAAGGGAGGAGGGGGCCCAGTTTGGGACTGGGAGGGGCCCAGTTTGGGACTGGGAGGGGCCCAGTTTGGGTGAGGAGGGGGCCCAGTTTGGGATTGGGATTGTCCCAGTTTGGGATTGGGATGGTCCCAGTTTGGGATTGGGAGGGGCCCAGTTTGGGATTGGGGAGGGGCCCAGTTTGGGATTGGGATGGTCCCAGTTTGGGTGAGGAGGGGCCCAGTTTGGGATTGGGAGGGGCCCAGTTTGGGTGGGGAGGGTCCCAGTTTGGGGTGGGGAGGTCCCAGTTTGGGATGGGGGGAGGGTCCCGAATTTGGGATAGGGAATTGATGGTCCCCAGTGTTGGAAACGGGGAGGGGTCCCAGGGTGGGACTGGGGAGGGTCCCAGTTTGGGTGGGGAGGGTCCCAGTTTGGGATTGGGAGGGGCCCAGTTTGGGACTGGGAGGGTCCCAGTTTGGGATTGGGATGGTCCCAGTTTGGGATTGGGAGGGTCCCAGTTTGGGATTGGGAGGGTCCCAGTTTGGGATTGGGGAAGGTCCCAGTTTGGGATTGGGGAAGGTCCCAGTTTGGGACTGGGAGGGTCCCAGTTTGAGATTGGGAAGGTCCCAGTTTGGGATTGGGGACAGTCCCAGTTTGGGACTGGGATGGTCCCAGTTTAGGTGGGGAGGGTCCCAGTTTCGGTGGGGAGGGCCCCAGTTTGGGTGGGGAGGGGCCCAGTTTGGGACTGGGAGGGTCCCAGTTTGGGACTGGGATGGTCCCAGTTTGGGATTGGGAGGGTCCCAGTTTGGGTGAGGAGGGTCCCAGTTTGGGACTGGGAGTGTCCCAGTTTGGGATTGGGATTGTCCCAGTTTGGGACTGGGAGGGGCCCAGTTTGGGATTGGGGAAGAGGTCCCAGTTTGGGTGGGGAGGGTCCCAGTTTGGGACTGGGCTGGTCCCAGTTTGGGTGGGGAGGGTCCCAGTTTGGGACTGGGCTGGTCCCAGTTTGGGTGGGGAGGGTCCCAGTTTGGGACTGGGCTGGTCCCAGTTTGGGTTGGGAGGGGGGCCCCAGTTGGGATTGTGAGGGTCCCAGTTTGGGATTGGGATTGTCCCAGTTTGGGATTGGGGAAGAGGTCCCAGTTTGGGTGGGGAGGGTCCCAGTTTGGGACTGGGCTGGTCCCAGTTTGGGTGGGGAGGGGGCCCAGTTTGGGATTGGGAGGGTCCCAGTTTGGGATTGGGATTGTCCCAGTTTGGGATTGGGGAAGAGGTCCCAGTTTGGGTGGGGAGGGTCCCAGTTTGGGACTGGGCTGTCCCAGTTGGTCCCAGTTGTACCTGCTCCGTTGGGAGCTCCGGGCTGGTCCCTTCCCGGCGTTCCTGGGGGTCGGTGCCGGAGGATCCGGGATCCGGCTCCGGGGGCTCCGCCTTGGAATTCCCGCTCTGGGAATTCCTGCTCTGGGAATTTCTACTCTGGGCATTCCCGCTCTGGGAATTTCTACTCTGGGAATTCCCACTGTGGGCATTCCTGCTCTGGGAATTCCCGCTCTGGGAATTCTTGCTCTGGGCATTCCCACTCTCCCCATTCCCACTCTCTGAATTCCCACTCTCCCCATTCCCTCTCTCCCCATTCCCACTGTTAATATTCCCACTCTCCCCATTCCCACTCTCCCCATTCCCTCTCTCCCCATTCCCACTCTCCT